GCATTAGTATCTTGTGTAAATATTCCTACATAAGGAGTTCCTTTCCAGTTTGAGTCTGCTGATAACACATCTCAATGTTTTATTTGACTGAAACATCTTTATTTTTTTTTAATTCTACTTAAAAGGTATCTTCACTGGTTACAGAATTCTAGGCTGGAAATTTATTTTCTTTCAGCACTTTAAAAATCTCATTCCATGGTCTACTGCTTTCCATCGTGTCTGTGGTAAGTCAGCTGTCCGGATTATTCTTGTTCCTTTGAAAGTAATATATCTTTTAGGGTTTTTTTACCCTATTGTCTTTATTTTCCACTGAAAATAGATTATTTAGATTATTACTAAGTATGATTTTCCATTGTGTGTAGTCCTTGAAAGGTTTTTAATGTAGAGTGATAGTCTTTTGTTAATTTTGAAAAAGAGTGCTGTTAAGTGTTGCTTCTGTCCATTTTTCTCTCCATTCTCAGGACTCCAATAGGTTACATCTTTTCACAAGATGATAGGTATCTCAGACTGCCCAATTTCTTTTTTTCCAATCTCTCACCGCTCCATATTTCTGTCTGGTAATTTTTTTCATCTACTTTCCAGTTCACAAATCTTCTCTTTATCTAAGAGCAATATGCTACTAAAGAATATGTATAGTTACTAAACCATATGTTACATCTATTAAGAAATTCTGGTGTTGTATAGTTACCATTTAATTCTATCTTAGGAGTTACAGTTCTCTGGTGAAACTCTACATTCCCATGTTTTCTTTTTTCCCTTAGATAAAATAAGCAGAGTTGTTTTTTAAACATGTCTGATTACTCTAATGTCTGAATTATCTCTGAGTCTATTTCAGTTTTATTGCTTTTCTCTTAGCATGGGAATGTAATTACTGTTCCTATGTTTTAAGGGGGGAAAAAACCTGCTTGTAAAAAAAAAACACTCCTATAGTCTCTGGATGATCTCTCTAGAGAGATTTCATCTTATCTTTTCTGGCAAGCAGCTAGAATACAAGGTTATATATCCTTATACCCGTCCAATCTGGGTCTTAAGTTTGTCAGGAATCAGGAGCTTGGACTCCCTCATGTTTTATGTTAAATTTTTACTTTCCTGGTGCAGTTTTTCAATAGTGAAAACAGTATTTAGATATTTCCTACCAACACCAATTCTTGGTGTATGCTACATGAAACTCCCAAAAGTATATTCTTTCTTCATAGCTGCACCCTTATCTCTAGAGAACTTAAGAATGAGCACATCTTATAGGTGAAAAGTGTCAGCGTAGAGCTCAGTGCTTGCAATTCAACATGTTTCTTTTTTAAGCAGTGCTGGGAGTTGAACCCAGGGTGTTAAGCTCACCAGGCAGCTCCTGAAACTCCCTTTTCTCAACCACCTACGGCTCCATCCCTGGCTGTCTTGGCAGCTCAGTACTCCTGTTAAGAGCTTTCTTCATTGTGTTTTTAACTCAGTGTCAGTAATGAGGGGGAATGGGATACCACCAAAGTCCACATATGCTCCCCGGGGCGCCCCTGAGGTCGGATTTGGAGGAATAGGCCCTTTCTCCCAGGAATACCCTTTTTTGTAAGCTTATACCTGAGGAAAGCATTCTCCTCCTTTCTGGGGGCATCTACATTCTGAAGCTGTGACTTATTCTATGTCATTGTTGTGATGAGAAACCTAAAGTTTGAAAGTAGCTGGGCACGATGAAAGGGTGAAAAATCACTCCTTGTTGCCCAATTAAATATATTTACTAAAAAAAAAAAAAAAATGACTAGACATTTTCTTTGAACCCAGCTCTCTGTGTGAGATGCTCTCTCCACAGATTATCTCAGACCTAAAAAGAAACCATGAACGTAGTCAAGGTCATGACTCTTATAGAAAGCGAATCTTAAAAAAGATTAAGTCAACCTGAAGTCCAGATCCAGGAAGTAAATGTCACACGCAAAGTTGAACTCAGATTTTTCTAACACGTTTTCTTCACACCCTCTTGCCTCGCCCTCTTCCAACATAATGAGTTCCCTGATTTCAGTGAGTGCTGGAATCCTCAGGCTTTTCCTTAAATCCAGTGAGAACTAAGTAGTCTGAGGTGTTCCACACAAATATTTCCCCTTATTATAATAGTTCTCTGGGCTATTTCCAGATTCTTCCTATTCCTCCCCAGCCCTGTTTAGATTATCTGTAGAATATTAAACACTTCCATTTTTCCCTTCTATGGCAAATCAGTAATTTTCGTTTGAAACAAAGCCTTGTGTAGGTGCAGGAAGCAGTTAGTGGTAGGGCTTTTATTTTCAGAGGATTAAGTTGGCAAGAGGCCGGGCGTTCGGAGGAGTGCTTGCTGCACCGTCCCGATAATGAGTTGTGGGAAGTGATGGCTCAGCCTACAGCTGGATGCTCAATGCTCCCAGCGAGTCAGCCAGCGAGTTCTCCCCAGCCTGGGGTTGTAGCAGAGACTAGCTACGCCAGGTGAAGCCCCTCTCTGCCCCGCTCTGTGAGACAAAGAGGCCCTGCCTGCTCCATGTGAGTCATTAGCTTACTATCGTGGAGGAGCTTTGGTCATCATGCATGTGTATGACTTTCCCCCAGTGCTTAGGAGAAAGATCTACTAACTCTCCAGGTAGTCTGGATGACGACTTTGCAAAATCTACCTCTGAAGCAACGTGTTGCCCTTTGACGCTGCTTCAATGTTACTAGGACTTTGAAAACAGTATGGAAAAGCACGAGAGAGGGACAGTGCTTCAGAAAAATGGGCAGATGTATGAAAAGGGTCATCTTTTCTTGGTTGAAAATGTGCACGTGGCAAAAGATGACAACAAATGATCATGCTGTTGGATTAGGATGATGGATCCCTGAGAGAAGGGAACTAGGTGATTATTTTTTTTTTAAGTCAGTCATGGAGCTTGAACCCTTGGCCTGGGCGCTGTCCCTCAGCTCTTCAGCTCAAGGCTAGTGCTCTACCACTTGAGCCATAGCGCCACGTCCGGTTTTCTGGGTGGTTTATTTGGGATTAGAGTCTCACGGACTTTTCCTGCCCAGGCTGGCTTTGAACCTCGATGCTCAGGTCTCATCCTCCTGAATAGCTAGGATTACAGGTGTGAGCCACCAGTGCCCAGCTGATTACTTTTTTTAAAAACTACATTTTTCCAAGTTTGATAAATATGTGCAGATTCTAACACTTATTCTCAATGTGATCCTTGAGTATTTTAAACAGCTATTCACTGGGGAAAACTGGCTTTTTTTCCCCCCAACCTTGTTTTGGACTCTTATGGTCTGCACCTGGTCATGTATTAGGCATTTAGTTCCTTGTGAGCGTGAAAAAAGATGGTGTCACATCTTCTCCATAGGAAACTGCTGCTCACGGAGTTGGAACAGGAAGTGTTTTGGTTGCACAATTGGACTGCCATTACCACCTGGAATTTGGTATTAAGTGGAGAGCACTGAGGATAAAGCCAAATGTTTTGCAAAGCAGAGTATGGAAAAGTTCCCCCACTTAAGCAGTAGGGCTCTCGTTTCTGCTTTGCAATGCATTGATAATGTTGAAAGGTCTTCTATATTTCTGACTCTGGTTATTTTCCCGGGATTATTATATAATTTAATGCTGTTTTCATGGATTTATTAAGGTATTGATCTAGAACAAGTTGTACATATCTCTAATGTATGATTTAACATGTAACGCATCTCAGTAAGGATGATGACTAGAGCCCCTCTAGATTTTATGGTATTTCATTTTCTAAAGTGACAAAACAAGCAGTTGTAGAGAAAGTACACCCTAAGGCAGGCCCTAGCAAGGGATAGCAGTGGAGAGACCAAAGAGAAGGGGGAGAGAGGGAGGGTAGTATGAGAGAGAGGTCACAGAGGGAAGAGGAAGAGGTGAGTGAGTGGTGTATTTAAGAGAGGGCATCCGGTTAGCAAGGAGCAGAGAAGAGGAAGATGAGAGGCGAGAGACAGGAAAGAGAGGCCCTCTCATCCGTCCCCCCCTCCTCTGGACCACGCAGCTCTCCCCCGCCCCCGATTTCTCACCACACTCTGGTAGGGACCTCACATCTCTCTCACGCGCTCTGGACCTCTTTCTTTCTGACCTCTCATCTCAAAAACGCTCCTCTTTCTCTCTTTCTCTACTGACCTCTCCCTGGACAACTCATCGCTTTCTGTGTCTCTGCTGCACCTCTCTCAAAAAGAGAGAGAGGAGAGCTCGAGAGAGAAATGTGGAGAGAGAGAGGTCCACACATATATACGTGTGTGCATATATGTATATGTGTATATATACTTAGATACACACACACATAGGTAGACATATATAGGTAAGATCTGGAGAGAAAGGTGAAAAGTCCAGAGAGAGACAGACAGAAAGATATGTGAGATCCAGAGAGAGAGAGAGAGAGGGACAGAGAGAGGGGAAAAGAAGACTGTGATAGAGGCCAGAGAGAGAGGAGAGAGACAGACAGGAGCAAAGAGGCGAGAGACAGGTGAGAGTGTGTCGAGGGCTAGGTCGGGAAGGACCCAGAAATGTCCAAGAGAGGAAGAGCACAGAGTCCTTTGTGAACCATGGCGAGGCCTGGGAGGAAGGGAGGGGTGGGAAGGGGTACAAGGAGGACAAATGGGTTGGAAAGAGAGAGGAAGGGGAGTGGTGAGTGTGGGGAGAGGGAAAGAGGGGGGAAGGCACGAAGCAGGCTAGCGAGGGAAGAGAGGAGGGAAAGCAGAGAAGAGAGGCAGCAGGGGAGAGGGAGATACCGGAGAGAAAGAGGGGAAGAGGGGAAGAGGGGTGAGAGGAAAGAGAGAGCAGAGACAGGAGACAGAGAGGGAGAGAGGGGAGAGAGGGGAGAAAGGAGGAGGAGGAGGGAGAGGACATAGAGGATGGAGAAAGGCGGGAATAGGAGAGGGTGGTAGGAGTGGAGGAGGGTAGACATGGAGAGGGGTGAGGGAGAGGAGCCCGAGAGGTGGAGGGAGGGATAGAACCGAGAGAGGGAGGGAGAGAGAGGTGAGAGAGTTTAAGGCAAGCATTCTTCCTTACGTCCAGTTTGGAGAATGGAACCTGGGCAGGGACTCAGCTGATGGGTGGCCTCCAGTCGCTCCCAAATTGACTCAATGCAATTCCCTGAGCAAATTCATTTTCCCAGCGCTGAAAGCTCAGAGGCTTGGATTTGATGGTCCCTCAGGTGCCCCGGGAGTACGGAAGTTCAATAACTCGAAGAGGTCGGGGGTACTTAAGGTATTATTGGTTTGTGTCCAAATGGTTTTATGTAAAAAAGTGAGCGTCTCGAGGGGCTGGGTGTCAGCTGTGGCCCTCGCCCTAACCTGCTTTGCTCGATTGGTTATCAGGAAATCATTTGCTTTTCAGTCGCTTTCCCCCTGATTCAAAGTCACTTGTCATGGATTCCGTGTGGGTCTGGCGAAGCTGTAGGAAGCGCTCTACTTAAGAATTTAGAGCTGGGAACTTGGCAGGCCTTAAGCAAAGACTGATGAGAGATGCCAGGGTGGTCAGCTCTCCAGATAACTTTGAGGCAGCTTGGGCAATTTATGGGGGGGCGGAGGGGGTGGACAGAGCACACACTGTATTGGATAGCTTTCAGGCCTGGGGGAAGGGCTGCAGAATGGAGTTTAATTAAAATTCGGGTCCCAACGTGGCCCGTCTTCCTTGCCAAGTCAGCAGCTAGCATTTCTGTTTGTAGTGCTGGTGATCTCGCTGCGATGACAAACTTAGTTACCTCGAAAATTCTGGCCAGTCTGCCTAAAACGTCAATACGCCAACCAGATGTTCTACCAAGGTCTGGCACACTGCTGTCCTTTGCCTGTGATTTCAGAGATACCTGATCGACCACCGCTGGGAGGGAGGAGGCTGGGAAAGGATCTGGGAAAAGAGCTGGTGACAAATGAGAAAACCATCGCATTACACAGCTTCACACCTTTCCAAATGGCTTCTGTGTTCCAGGTAGCTGAGTCGGATTTCTGAGGAGGGGCTGCTCTGCCTTCGTCTTGGTCCAGCCATGAAGCTCTTCCTGCTTTGTGTCTGCACGCTGCTCCTGATGGCTTCACAGCTGAGGGCAGTCAGCTTTCCCGAAGATGAGGAGCCCCTCAATACCGTTGACTACCACTGTAAGTGATCCGAAGCAGTGTTCTCTCCTAAGAAGGAAGCATATTCATTTTCAGAACCGGAGAGAGATTTTTGCCTGTTAATTTATTCGGTCATCATTTCACTGTATTTGAAAACAACAGAACAGTTTGATCGCTTTTCTGGCAACCCACATAGAGGTACAGATATAGCTTCTATATATCCCATATACTTTTTGAGTATAAACAAAAGGACCCATTATGTTATCTATTTTCCGTAAAAAAAAGAAAAAAAAAAGACCGTTTGCTGACATTTGCTGCCTTTTATTCATTTATATTCAAGACCTTACGAGAGGAATTTAGTTAAAACCTTTCTACAACTAGTATATACAGCTAATCAATGCTGTCTATTGATTCTTCAGCTCCATAATCCTGACTGATGGTTTAGCCCATTTTCACTTGCAGATTCAAGGCAATATCCGGTTTTTAGAGGGCGCCCTTCGGGCAATGAATCACAGCACAGGCTGGACTTTCAGCTGATGTTGAAAATTCGAGACACACTTTATATTGCTGGCAGGTAATTTTCCTCTCATTGGTTTATTAGATTAAAATTCTTTTCTCTTGTGGTGCTTGCATTAATGTGTCTAGTTCATGAAAAACTAATATGTGATTGTGATCGAGAATTGCAAGTAGCCAAAAATATTCATGGAGAAGAGTCAGTGTTGTATACCAAAAACAAAATACAGAGCTAAAAAGCCTTCAGCACTGCTATTTTATTACTGCCATCAAAAAACCATATACCATTCTTTTTTTTTTTCCCCTAAAGCAACGGGGAAAAAAAATCGTTCCTTATTCTCTTTTAACTCAGAATTGTTGGAGCAAATACTAGAAATATACCTATGCTAATACCAATTGGCAGTTTGACTCAGGCTTGGAGAACTTGCTTTTGATTATACATATATATATATATATATATATATATAAAACATATATACATATATATGTATGTGTGTGTGTGTGTGTGTGTATATATATATATATATATATATATATGCACCTCAGTAATGAAAAAGAACTCTGTTAATCTTGTTTGGGACAGAGACGATCCAGAGGCTCTCCAAAACATGATAAAGGCAGATATGTAAAACTAAATAAGCAGCAACTTCACATTTTTACGCATTCAACATGATTTGACTTCCTCCCTTATCTCCACCAGGGATCAAGTTTATACAGTCAACTTAAATGAAAACCCCAAATCAGAAGTCATTCCAAGCAAGGTGAGCCATTACAATTAGGAAATTGCTTCGCGCTTACTTAGGACTTAAGTTATTATTCCCCCCCCCCCACCTCCAAATATGTCCCTACTAAACCCTGATTTGCTTAACGCAGAAGCTGACATGGAGGTCAAGACAACAGGATCGAGAAAACTGTGCTATGAAAGGCAAGCATAAAGTGAGTGGAGCAGACCCCTAGACTCAGAACATTCCAGAACATCCGCCTATGCAATGAGTAACATCAATGTACTTACTCTCTTTAGGATGAATGCCACAACTTCATCAAAGTATTTGTTCCCAGAAACGATGAGATGGTTTTTGTTTGTGGTACCAATGCATTCAATCCCATGTGCAGATATTACAGGGTAAGCGTGCTTTTTGATCCTGTTTGGTCCTCACTGGACTACTATTCACGTGGAGTCCTTTTCTCTACGTTCCAGAAATTTCTTTGATCGCTAATGCACTAAAAATAAGCAAAGAAGACTTCTTCAAGTACAATTTCAATCTAAATAAAGCGGTATTGCATTCAGACAGGTACCTTGAACAGATGTGACAAGATCTATTTGTTTTTCTTTTATAGTTGAATGCCTTAGAGTATGATGGGGAAGAAATCAGTGGCCTGGCAAGGTGCCCATTTGATGCCAGACAAACCAACGTTGCCCTGTTCGCTGGTAAGAACCGGCAGCACCCTGACCACGAATGATCAATGACACTGCAGCTACAAAACGAATTTAAATGGGGGAGGAGTTAAAAAGCTCCTAACTTTGGCAGACACGGGTATCTCAAAGGCTCAAATGCAAACTATTTTTATAAAGAAAACTTAAAAAGCCCACGTATCTCAGTGCATGTTATACATCTCCTGACATGTGGCTGGCTCTGTTGTTAACTAAGCTAGTGACCCCTGAGTAAGTTCCTTAATTGTGGATGTTTATACCCCTAATCTATAAAATGAGGTAATATGGTGGGACATCTGGGTAAGAGGCTGAGCATCAGGTATGTACTTATCTGACTAGATAATGGAAGCAGGTGGAAACGCTGTAAGGGGTCTAAACACACTGCTACATAATTATGGTTATTTTACCCAATTATCATTTTGGTTTCAGATGGGAAACTATATTCTGCCACAGTAGCTGACTTCTTGGCCAGTGATGCTGTGATTTATCGAAGCATGGGAGACGGATCTGCTCTTCGCACCATAAAATATGATTCCAAATGGATAAAAGGTACCTTTGAAGAGCAGTGGACGTGGGCGGGGCGGCTTGGGAGGGAGCAGCAGCCAGGGCCGGCCAGAAGTTGAGTGCAGGACTCTGGTAGTTCACCTGGAACAAAACCATCCCGCTTTGGTGGTGGACAGGAGCACTGGTCGAAAAGGGGAGCCTAGTGGGCATGCCAGGAAGAAGTTCATCAAGGAGCGCCAAAACAAAAACCTAGGGAGCACTCCTGTCTGGTGTACCAATTTGTCTAACTGCAAATGCAGATAGAATACTTGCCCACCCCCGTCTGCCCACCTTGTAAGTTACACTGAGAATCCATGAGGAGAATCCTTGAGCCCACAGCTTCAGTCATTTGGTTCTTGAGATTCTAGCAACTGAATTTTTTTTTTATCCTCAGGGTAATAAGTTTTCTTCCCTAGTTAAGTAGGTTAATGAAGAAATCTGTTGAAACAAAGATCTTTGCTGCAGTATAGTTCCCTGTAGGACTTTTTACAGTCCATTAGCTGATTCCAAAGACATTCACAGGCTCCCTGAAGCTTGAACCCCCACCCATATTGGGGCTCCTGGAAATCACTACCTTGGTGTGACTCTCCAACATCTGTCTGTCATACCTGGCAGTGGAGAGCTTAGGCTAATTACTTTTTTTGCTTCTTCTTTCAGAGCCACACTTTCTTCATGCCATAGAATATGGAAACTATGTCTATTTCTTCTTCCGAGAAATTGCCGTGGAACACAACAACTTAGGCAAGGTGAGTTCTGCAGGGTTGATTGGTATTGGGAGTTGAGGCTAGTTTTGCAGAGGGACAGATGATGTTTTGGCATGCAAACGTTTCCAGCATTCAGTTCAGGGCCTGGAAGGCTGAAGTCAGAGATCTAGGTGCTTTTTGGGGAGAATAATTTGCTGGAAACCCATGAATGATGACCAGAATGGGACAGCAACCTTAGGCCTTCAGAAGGTTGCATTGTTTAATATCGCCACAAGCAGTACTCGCTACATGCCTCTGACCTTCCTCTTTAGAAATCCATTGATAGTCTAGTCTCTTACCTAGTCAAAAGGCAAGATTGAAAAAGTAGGGGATCTCGTTTAATTCAGGAAGTGATGGTAAATTATTTACATTTCTCCTATGCCAAGTTTAAAGACCACATATTTTTTTTCCCGTGAGGTACAGGTTAGGTGGTTACTATCTCCCAAATGCTGGGATTATAGGCATACGCCATTACATGGTCCTGAGATTGTACATCTCCTTAGCAATGTAAGAAGAGTCAACTACCTCCCCTCCCCCCATTCTTTTGCTTTTCTCACAGGTAAATCTAGTTTGCCTTCTACCTGTATAAATCCCTCAGGAGAGGGTGGCTACATATTTTTGAGCCAAGTATCTTAAGCACGTCTAGTCTCTCATGGCGTTCCTATCGGCATTTGGTTCACAGTCCCGACCCATCCTCATAACCCATTGCTTTGTCTCTGTACCTGGACAGGCTGTGTATTCCCGTGTGGCTCGTATATGTAAAAATGACATGGGTGGCTCCCAGCGGGTCCTGGAGAAACACTGGACTTCGTTTCTGAAGGCTCGGCTGAACTGTTCAGTCCCTGGCGATTCCTTTTTCTACTTTGACGTTCTGCAGTCTATCACAGACATAATCCAAATCAACGGCGTCCCCACTGTGGTTGGGGTGTTTACCACGCAGCTCAACAGGTAAGAACCTGTCCCGGAGGCTTCTGGAGATGCTCCATGCTCCCGTGCAGGGCCCGGGGGCCACGTGCCTGTTGTACCCCCCCCCCTTCTTCCTCATTGTTTTCTGCTTCTCATTGTTCTCAGCATTCCTGGTTCTGCAGTGTGTGCATTCAGCATGGAAGACATCGAAAAGGTGTTCAAAGGACGGTTTAAAGAACAGAAAACTCCAGATTCCGTTTGGACAGCAGTCCCCGAAGACAAAGTACCCAAGCCAAGGTAAAGACAACCCACTGAAAAGGATTTTTTTTTTCTTGCACAAAAATCCCCTGTGGTCACTGGTTGCGTCCATCCATCTTCAGAGAGCAGCTGGGCCAACCTCCCAGCCCAGGACTGGAGGTGGGGGGGGGCCTGGGCAGCATCTCAGACAAAGCCAGTAAGCAGCCCCCCCTGCAGACTGCAAGCACCCTGTGCTTGCCAATGTGGATGTAGAGAAATAGCATCGCTTCCGGGTCACCGTTGACTCTCCTGACCTCTCAGACTGGGCACTTCCTCCTTAGATACAGTTGCAGGGTAGGGGCAGGAAAAGAATCCCGTTTTTCTTTCAGGCCTGGCTGTTGTGCGAAACATGGCCTTGCGGAAGCGTATAAAACCTCCATCGACTTCCCCGATGAGACCTTGTCATTCATCAAGTCCCACCCCCTGATGGACTCCGCCGTCCCGCCCATTGCCGATGAGCCCTGGTTCACAAAGACCCGAGTCAGGTGAGGTGTTGTGGCATTGGGCGGCCGGCTCCTGTCCTGTGTTCTCTGGTGGTTGCCTTTCCCATCTGACTTACCCCACCTCCTCTGGCAGGTACAGACTGACAGCCATCGCCGTGGACCATTTGGCAGGGCCTCACCAGAACTACACAGTCATCTTCGTTGGCTCCGAAGCTGGCATTGTACTTAAAGTTTTGGCAAAGACCAGTCCTTTCTCGTTGAATGACAGCGTATTACTGGAAGAAATTGAAGCTTACAACCAAGCAAAGTAGGTCTATTTTATGAGAAAGCTCTTCAGCGCTGCTCAGAAAATTCTGGTGTATATTCCAACTCTTCTGCTCACTTCCTCTCAGCCTTTTAAATTAGTGGTCTTGGTTTGTTTGGTTTGGTTTTCTGGAGCCCGCTAGTGCACAGAGAGAGGGTGAATAGTTGATGAATGTGCATATAATTCAGTCATCGTTTTCCACTTGTGGGAATGAGAATATTTTAGCACTACCCCTTGTATCTTCCAGATATAGTTCAGGATGCTACATAGGCACATATATTTAGAGCATTGATAGTTTACTGGTTTCTTCAAACCAGAACGTAAGAAATTATTTGAGCAATTAAGAAAAACAAGATATAGGTAACAGAATTAGAGCCAAGGAAACATCTGGAAACACTTCAAACATATGATGATTCCAATTATATTTAAAAAAAAAAAGTCACTAGAGCCGGGCGCCGGTGGCTCACACCTGTAATCCTAGCTACTCAGGAGACTGAGATGTGAGAATCATGGTTCAAAGCCAGCCCAGGCAAAAGCCTCTTATCTCCAGTTAACCACCAGAAAATGAAAGTGGCCCTGGGGCTCAAGTGGTAGAGCACTCACCTTGAGCTGAAGAGCTCAGGGACAGTGCCCAGGCCCATGACTGCCCTCCCCCTCTCCCCCCCGCCCCCTCAAAAGAAAGCCACTAAAAGCTCCCAAGTCCTTTACAAATGTAATCTTCGAAAACCCTCTGTCCCACCAGAAGTTTAACCATCAATGCAAATCACATGATTATCAGTCCCCAAACAATGCACCTGCTTGGCTTGCTACCAAGAACACTAAGATTTCCCCAGTCACTGCAAAGCCAAGCCATACATGCCTTGCACATGTAGATTCTGACCCACTAAAAAGTATGTCTTCAAAAAAATCTCTCCCATAAAACAGGTGCAGCGCAGAGAGTGAGGAAGAGAAGAAGGTCATCTCATTACAGCTGGATAAAGACCGCCACGCTCTGTTTGTGGCATTCTCCAGCTGTGTGATCCGCATTCCCCTCAGCCGCTGTGAGCGGTACGGATCATGTAAAAAGTAAGCTCACGTTTCTGTACTTACCCCGGTCTTGGACCTTGATGGACGAGAAAATTCCAACCATGCTCTGTTTACTTGTCTACAGGTCTTGCATTGCATCTCGTGACCCGTATTGTGGCTGGTTAAGCCAGGGTACTTGTGGAAGAGTAGCAGTAGGGATGGCGTAAGTAGGCTTTGTCATGTTAGTGACCAACTGTCTTCTCCAGGATCTCTAAAGCTGTAACTTTTAGAAACTTCCCTTCTTCCTTCCTTCCTCACATTTTTGTTTGAGAAATAAGTCAAAAGAAAAGAAAACCTGAAATGTGAAGAAAGGAAGGGATCTTACTGACATCAGAGAAATTGATATGGGGGGGGGGGGGAGAGACAAAATTCCTTCTATCTCTACAACCAGCCTAGTTAAATTGTTAACACCGTTCAGCCAGTCAGGTTGAAATGTCAATGTGTGCTTTCTGCCCATCCTCACTAATCAGTCTGTCTTCTTGGTTCTGCGCTGGTTGCCCCTTGGGTCCCTATGAAGGCTCCTAACTGAAGACTTCTTTGCTTTCCATAACCACAGTGCTGGAGGGTATGAACAAGACACAGAATACGGCAACACGGCCCATCTAGGGGACTGCCACGGTAAGACAAAATCTTCCCTTCTCCTTACCCATGTCTTTTGGACCACATTTGCACGTGAACATTATTTTACACTCAGCCTTTGGAAGGACCTGGGACACACACCACCTAGCATTTAACTTAAAACTTCGCAAAAGCTGAGCTGTTTGGTCATGGGGGATATAAAAGAAAAATAACCTTTACTTTTTCTTTTCTTTTTTTTCTTTTCCTCACCGTTTACAATTTCATAGGAAAGAACAAAAATCTGGAGAAAAGTAGTCTAACCAGTAGGTTAATCTTTTTTAATTTGTAGGCTTTTCTTTTAACTTTTTTAAGTTACGTGGAATTCATAAACTTTTTTGCTTTCTTTTTGGTTGCTTTTCACTGATTCCTGTTCCTTTAATTCCTTTAGAAATTTTGCCTACTTCAACTACACCAGATTACAAAATATTTGGCGGTCCAACATCTGGTTAGTTTTGTTTCATTTTTTTGAATTAACCACCTTTGCTTTCCTTGAGTTCAACATTTTCAACCCCTTCTCCCCTCCTCCCTTTTGCGCAGTTTGGCAGCCCTTCATTTTTCTGCTTTGACTCATAACCCCACTTATGATGGTACCCAAAGACTTCTTCTAATTCTACACTCCACCCCCTGTGTAGCATGTTAACAGTTCATCATTGAGCAAGGCACATCGTTTCAGAAAACTCCAACAGGTTCACGTGAACTGCATTCCAGCTGCACGCACGCCCACCCACCCAAGCTTTCTTTCTCTCTCACCCCTTTGCATCGTGAATGTTTCCTCTGGTCATCTATATGGAATGGATGGCAAAACTTCATACTTTTCCCCTTCTCCCCTCACCTTCCCTAAGACCTAATCAACAAAATACACATTTCCCTGAAAATGTGTATTCGTGAGTTTTAAGGATTGTTTCGCGGTGATTCTGGGACTCTCTCTGAATGTCATAGTATCAGGAGCTCGGCCGGATGAAGCAGAGTTTTGATGTGTTAAGACATCCAGTGGTTCTCTATGCTTCTCAATCTGTATTTGCTTGGGAGCGTTCATCTGTGACTGCTGCCCCAGTAAAGAACTTGGAGCTAAGGTTTTAGCCTAAAGGCTTAATGTACTTACGTTTGAAGGGAAAGAAATTGCCTTGGTGGAAGTCAGTAATAGCCGTATAAAAAAAGTTAAGTAACTCTCAAATCCTGTTGCTGCTTCTGGGATTCAGAGTAGTTCTATTCCTTGAGGTGAGGGAGAAGGATGGAAGATCTTACGTATCTAAACATCTTTGCTTTTGCTTATATTACTACTTCCTCTTTGGAAGAAACTCTGTAGGCATTTCAGAACATAAAGCTAGGTGCCTTCTCGGCTATAGAAAGAGGCCCTTAGTGGACAGGGTCAGGCAGAACAGGTTTATCAATATCAAGTGTTTACTAAGACATAACTAGGGTGGAATCAGATGGTAGCTTCCCCAGTGACGGAAATAAAGGTCCAATCATCTATAAAAGCGCTTTCTTTGTCAAATCTACATAAAAAGAAATTACAGGAGATGAGCAGCATAATCACCCAGTATCCCTGGGAATGTCTTCAATTTTGCAGTCTGTTTACTATGTCTTCAGTGAGTTCTCATTCGTCTCTTGCGAGAAAAGGATGTGGTGTAGGCTCCTCCGATGTATTTTTATGAAATAGTAGATAGAACAGGCTCTCTTATCATTTGGATTGAAACTTAAAAAATGCAACAGACCAATCAGAAAAGCTTTCTGATGCTACCCATGTTAATGAACATCTGTTTGCCACCACAGACATGGAGGTATCTTCATCTTCTATTACCACAGTGGCAAGTATCCCAGAAATTACACCTAAAGTGATTGATACCTGGAGACCTAAACTGACGAGCTCCCGGAAATTTGTAGTTCAAGATGACCCAAACACTTCTGATTTTACTGATTCTTTATCGGGTATCCCAAAGGGTAAGGCTTTACCAGGGAACTCATCTCTTAACTGTGTGGAAACCTGATTCCCAATCTCTCAGAGGAGTGTGCAGTTTGAAGAGGTGAATCTAAATGGAGCTGCCACCACCACACCTCTGCCACACTGGCCATAGTGCCTTTGGTTTTCTATGGTTAAATCTGAGCACATTCCTTAAAGGAGGAAAGGCCTGGAATGCTGTTAAAGACAGCCACTCAGACAATCTAATCTGTGTTGCTTTCTCTCTGAAGAATCTGAGAACCTGTTGGTATCAAGGAATGTTGAGGATCACCTCAACATCAAAAAAGTACACTCATGAATGGCAAACACTCCGATATCAAATATTTTATCTAAGAGCCTTTCCTGGCCTCATGGTTAGCTTTAATCCAAAATGCAATTAGCAAGGAGCAAATAAGGTAAAAAGTTGTGTGGATGCCACAAGCAGTAACACATAACAGAGATTGCTTCTATGATGGACCAAAAGTGATGGTTATGGAGCGTTATAAAACAGTTGCACGTTGAGTTAGCTGATTAGATACAGTACTCTACAAACAAACATCTATTCCTCAGTGCCTACCAAACTGTGGTATCCGGTTTCCAATCAGTTTTTTTTTGTCAATCAATGCCTTGTCATTTATGATTTACATCTGTTGATTTTTTGCTTTTACATATTTTCACTATATAAAGTTTTATAATCATTCTTCATTCCTCTTTCTGATTTTCTTCAATAACATCATTTCTAGTTTTCTTTCTTGGTCTTTCACAATGCCACTGAATTCCATAACCATGAACATTTATTTAAAACAACTAATATTCCAAGGCCTTAGTACTGACCTAAAGCTATGTAGAATTGTCAAAACCACCTAGCTCACTTATTCTGGGATAGCTGTGTGTATTAGCATGTAATAGACTTAGATACCTCTTAAACTAACATTTCTTTGAATGACTGTTAGGTGTCTGTGGTTGCATTAAAAATTCCAGTATTTACAAACTAATTCACTCGTCTCCTCCAGGTCTAATTTAAATAGTTCTCAACTACCTCCAGATAATGTTATGGTATTACTTACCTAATACATAAAAAATATTTCCTTACATTGTTTCCTTATACTGGGTTTCTTCTATAGCAGGTAATTCAAGAATGCTTTGCCCTGAAATGGAATGGAAAACAATACAAGCATGAAACTTTGTACTTGTGCCTCACAATGACCAAGCAGATGCTTTTAGTTTATGAGCAAATCCTGTGTTCTTACCCTAGTTAAGTTAGAATAATTCTACTAGCATAATATATGTTTATGCTAATTTATGCATCTTCCTAATCCCAGCAGCTGCTCTTTAATCCTTATTTATGAATGAAGAGAAAATCATGAGATGAAACATTTCAAGGGATTAAAACTGGCTATTTGGAAAGTACAGACCTTCTAACTATTTTTTTTAGGTGAAAGCACTATCTAACAACTACTTAAGAGAGATGAGGGGGTAAAGGACAGAAACAAATGTATAGCTCAATGGGAAATAGAGTTTTGCAGCAATCATACGTCTCTGGAGAACCTACTGTGATGAAAGAAAAAATCTCAGTAGCGTATGCTGGACCCTCCAAGCTAGGCAGGTGGGCTGTGTGAGGGGAGGGTCAGCTCCATGGATGCATCTCGTTCAGACACTCCTCGTGTGTCTATTACAGGTGTCCGATGGGAAGTCCAGTCTGGAGAATCCAACCAGATGGTCCACATGAATGTCCTCATCACTTGTGTCTTTGCCGCTTTCGTGCTGGGTGCGTTCATTGCTGGTGTGGCAGTCTACTGCTACCGTGATATGTTTGTCCGGAAGAACAGAAAGATACATAAAGATGCAGAATCTGCGCAGTCATGCACAGACTCGAGTGGAAGTTTCGCCAAACTGAATGGTCTCTTTGACAGTCCGGTCAAGGAATACCAACAGAATATTGATTCTCCTAAACTCTACAGCAACCTCCTGACCAGTCGGAAAGAGCTGCCACCCAGTGGGGATACAAAATCCATGGTAATGGACCATCGAGGCCAACCTCCAGAGCTGGCTGCTCTCCCTACGCCAGAGTCCACACCTGTGCTGCACCAGAAGCCACTACAGTCCATGAAGAGCCACTCAGACAAGCCCCATGGCCATGGAGCTTCCAGGAAGGAAACCCCTCAGTTCTTTCCTTCTAGTCCTCCACCTCATTCTCCATTAAGTCATGGGCATATCCCTAGTGCCATTGTTCTTCCAAATGCTACTCATGACTACAATACATCTTTCTCAAACTCCAATGCACACAAAGCTGAAAAGAAGCTTCAAAACCTTGATCACCCTCTTACTAAGTCGGCCAGTAAGAGAGATCACCGGCGTTCTGTGGATTCCAGAAATACCCTCAATGACCTCCTGAAGCATCTAAATGACCCAAACAGTAACCCCAAAGCCATCATGGGAGACATCCAAATGGCTCACCAGGCCCTAATGCTGGATCCCGTGGGACCAGTGTCAGAGGTCCCGCCGAAGGTCCCTAACCGGGAGGCATCACTGTACTCCCCTCCTTCAACACTGCCCAGAAATAGTCCAACCAAGAGAGTAGATGTCCCCACTACTCCTGGGGTCCCAATGACTTCCCTGGAAAGACAACGGGGTTATCACAAAAGCTCCTCACAGCGGCACTCTATATCTGCTATGCCTAAAAACTTAAACTCACCAAACGGTGTTTTGTTATCCAGACAACCTAGTGTGAACCATGGGGGATACATGCCCACCCCCACTGGGGCGAAGGTAGACTATATCCAGGGGACACCAGTGAGCGTCCACCTGCAGCCTTCCCTCTCCAGACAGAGCAGCTATACCAGTAATGGCACCCTTCCCAGGACGGGACTAAAGAGGACACCGTCCTTAAAACCTGATGTGCCACCAAAGCCTTCCTTTGTTCCTCAAACCCCATCAGTCAGACCACTGAACAAATACACCTACTAGGTCTCAAGTGTGCTATTCCCGCGTGGCTTTATCCTATCCTGTTGCTGAGAGGATGATGTTGTAAGGGGCACCTTAACACAAGAGGCTTGCTCGTATTTTAAGAGAACCAAGTGGCCAAAGAGACTCTCTTTAACTTTGGCAACATCAGAACTTGCCACATGTAGCTACTGCAGCAAAACTTCTGTGTGCTTAACTACACACAAAGGAAGGTGCTGGTAATTCCATTTCTGTGGTTGAAAGCTAAAGTGATGCGTAGCTCCCCAGGGGCTACCTTAACCAGGATAAAAGAGCTGAGAACAGTACTCAGAAGAATCTGTGAACAAATACTTGAAAATGGGTTCCATTTGAGGCTGCCATTCTGTGTGGTCTTCCCATTAAATGTGAACATTTTAATATGTATGCATTCACCTTGCCTCTTGCACAAATGTCAAAAAGAACAAAAACAAAACAAAAAAAAAGATGGTAATGTCCCGAAAAAAAAAGAGAACTTGTATATTACCCAGCAGTTTGCTAAAAAAAAAAATTCAGTCTTTGACCCCAAACTGTAGCATTTTTTTTCATGCCACTGACAAACGTTGGAAGTGTGTGTGTGTGTGTGTGTGCGTGCGTGCGTGCGTGCGTGTGTGTGCATGTGTGCAGGCATTTGGGAGAAAATGAGAAAGATGTGTACCCACTAGGATTTGTTTAGGTGCTCACTGCATCTTTTTGTGCTACGGAGTTGTTTACATTTGAGCATGACCGAACAAAAAACTAAACTTCATCCTACATCAGTCATTGGGTTCAGCTCTGAGAGAATACAATCAAAGCTCCCTGGACACTCAAAATGATACACTCACCTGGTGTGGTACCCAATGCCAGAATGTAAGAGTTCCAAGTAAATTTTGTGCTGCTATTCATTTCAGACTTTGATTCCAGTCTTGCCCCAGCTTTCAGAGCTAGAGATAGAGCTGGTAAGAGGTATCCTTGATTCACCCATCAGTATTCAGTAGTGATACGTTCACGTCCACTGTGAATCAAAGCCTGAATTACACTACTTAACCTTGGACACACTAATAAAGAGTTGATTTAGACTGTGTTGAGTTCTTATCCCCTCCCCAATATGTAAAAGTTTTCCTCCTGTAACTCCTCCTATTCTCCAAAGCAAAAGTAAAAGCAAACGTGGAAAGAAAGACATGGGAAAGGATTTACAATTGAGTGACTTAGCAGGAGCTGTCTGTGCAGACCTCTCAGTGGTACAGTCATGTTGTCTATGTTGTGTTCATGTGAGAATTTCCTCCTGAGTCATGCAGGTAATGACAGTATACTGTAAATACCACATGTGAGTTTACCTGAATCTGTGCATTTTGTGCCTTATTCATGAGAATTATAGAATCACTACGATATGTCAAGTGTGTTGAGTATAGCACATCATTTACTGAGTGCCAGTTGTCAATGTTTTTTCAACCAGCACCTGGAAAGACTTTTAAAAAAAGAAATCATAAAAGCAACCTACAACAGTGAATTGTTAAACAATCCACTTGAATAGCAGCATTACATCTTTTGCCATGATAAAAACAAAACAAAACATTCCACTCCCACTTTCCTAAGGAGGAAATGGTATCAATGTGAAGTCAAATGGGGTTTCCCAGAGAATACATACCACCTGTGGAGACCACGGAGAGTCAGTGATAGAGTTTGGCAGGACCCTCATACAGTAGTTAAAATGCTGCACATAGCCCAACTGTCTGTTGAACCTAAGCTAAAAGTACCACGGCAAAGGAAGGCTCCTGATTTGTCACACAAATAAGTTCAGCTGATTTCTTGTGATAATGCTGATGAGGTTATCTTACTTGGGGGAGTATGGGATGTGAAAGACCAGATCCTTTTTATACAGAATCTAGGCTATTGATAAGAGTTGTTCTTTTCCTTTGAGAACATTATTTGACAAAGAATATGCTTTCCTGTGATCTCTGGAAGCTCATCTGTTTTCGAAACACTTCAGCTTTGCAACTAAAATATTACAGATTAATCATAAATTAAACCAACCAATGATAAACACTACTCAGTCCACCACCAACAGATGTGTTTGAATTTACCTTACCAATATTAATCCCAGCGTGGTAACTCTGTGTGACCCCAGATAACATTGTGCTGCCTTGTAGTTTGTAATGTGAGTTCTATCAGTATTTATGTTGAGATTTCTAACATTGACTCTAGTCTCTATTCTGTTCATTTAATTTTTTAAATGCTTTATCCATTTGTGCAAAGGTAAACACAGATTGTATCTTTTTTAATGGTACGGCATTAAAAAGTAACCCTCAGTGAAGTGGCTCTATACTGTTTTATAGAGTACTTTAACATGTATAGAGATCTTGTAAACTTGTATTGTGGATGTGTAAATAGTATGTACTTTGGGTTTTTAACACCGCATGTAAAGTCAAAATAAAATATACAATCATTATATCTTGCCTCTTGATATTAAAGAGGTTTACAGTGCATCGTATTTTAAAGTCAGTCAACACCAGCAAAAATTTCTTTTAAAAAAAAAAAACCTAAATATTCTTACCTGGACTATTTGCCTTCTGGTTATGGTCACACTACCATTTTCTGGTTGGAAGGCCGATACTGAAGGTCGGAACCTCTAAAAATAAACGATTTTGAAAGTCAGCTGAGCTAAGCGGCTCTCGTGTATCAGGCTACAACAAATACTTTGAAAGTTCGTGCCTAGTATTCCCACATGAAATTTTAAACCATTTTACTTCAAAATGACAACTGGCATACAGGATTTGGGCTATTGCAGGTGCTTGGAATTCCTCAAATCTGTCGTTTTAATTCAATGGGTTCCATTGTCTTTCCCTTGGTTTGTACTTAACGGTGATGGCTCTCATGGCACAATGCCATTTCTTAGGGAAATACCAGTGGGTGGTAGTAATTCCTGCCTTCTTGGTTCTCCACGCTTCTGCCCAGAGCCAGCTGCATGCAGTCTCTCAGTCCCCACAGGGTCTCCAGGGACCTCAGTGGCATCTCTACAGAAAAGCACACTCTGCCATATTCCTGTCTCGGATCTTATTCTCGCTCTCAGTGTCATCTAATGAGGGTTGCTGCATTTCACTACCACTTCAGCTGGGAGGTCCCTTTGTAGGCCCGTTATGGCATGTTCCAGATGAGGACAAATTTGCAAGAACCCTTAGGCAAGAGAACTGGTCTGGTGGAAAATCTGTCTCTCTTCATAGTAGCCAGCACCAGAGCTGTACATGCTACAAGGCTAATACCCCACTGTCCTGCTGCTGGCTGAAGGCGTCTCCTGCCTCACCGCGTAACTCTTACAGCTTTGGTCAAATTGATGAAGAAATAAGACAAATACATGTGCAGTCTCTTTCTTCCCGGGCATTTCCCCCCCCTCCACATTGTATTTCATTTACATTGCATTTGTCTATTCAGTTAGTATTTCTTATAGCTACAGCCCCCAGAGCAGTTTTTCTGGTTTCAGTAACACATTTTTTTTTCCTTCTAAACACATGACTTTCCTCCTTTTTAGAAACATTTTAGCTTCCCCCTCCCCCCCACCATGGACATCTTGACTAGTTTAATGGAGGCTGAATTCACTGTTCTTTTCAGGGAATTTGTAGTCTCCTAGCACTACATCTATGGATTCTCAAGGTAAATGCTCAGATCCCATTTGAAGGAAGTAGGGTAACAAAACTTGGAGCTTCTCATTGGGAATACATTATAAAGCACCAGTAAAACAAATCCACCAGGGCAGAACATTCATGATCTGGTTCTAGAAATCCTACTGACTGGACATTTAGGTTACTCTAGAAGTGGGGCCTGGCGCAGGTGGCTTATGCCTGTAATCCTAGCTACTCAGGAGGCTGAGATTGGAGGATTGCTGTTCAAAGCCAGCCCGGGCAGGAAAGGCAGTGAGATTTTTACCTCCAATTAACTACCAGAAAACCGGAAGTGGCGCTGTAGCTCAAGTGGTAGAGCACTGGTCTTGAGCTGAAGAGCTGAGGGACAGCGCCCAGGCCCAGAGTTCAAGCCCCACAACCCCCGCCCCCTCCAAAAAAAAAGGCTGACACAGGCTAAGAAGGAAGAGGATGACCTATGCTCAACCATGACAGCCAAGATGCCGGGCTGCCACCACCCACCCTCTGAGAGAAGCCAACGTCCTTCCCTCCAGTATCACCTCAGCCATCCTCCTTGCCAGTCTGGGGCAGAGAACACAGCGAGAGCAGCCCTCCCTCCCCGCAGGTCCAATCCTCCCTCCGTCACTCTACTTCTCTCCACTTGAGTTATCCCATTTGTTAGAAGAGATGGTTTGACATCCATTTCTTTGACAGTTCTATGGTCTCTGTCAACTTGGTAATTCTATTACTTATTTTATGAATGCTATGCTTAACTGTTCGAGCCATGCCTAGCTATTCAATAGCTTGGTTTTTAGGCTATTTATGGAGGTGTGAGGTCTGTTCCCTCTTAGACATGCAATGTATGTGAGACTAGCAATAAAATAAAGCATGATACACAATGTACCTCAAGCTATTTAGCTCAGATCTATATTGGAAGTTTACCCTTTTTGCATATATAACATGTTAAACACTTGGATCTCTACCAGGGTTGTATTCTTCATTAAATAGAGGTTATAACAAAGAGGAATGGACCTGTAATAAAATTAATGTAATTCTTAGGGGTATAGGGGAGAAGTAGGTAATGTCTTGGACGGTCACACCATGAATCAAAATTCACATATAAAGGAAAATAACATTTCTAGTCTCTATCCCATGATATAATTCTCTAAAATTAGGTATTGATTACAAGCTGATAAATTTCTACAGCATGCAATTGAATGCACTTTAAACTCAAGCTAGGTTTGGATGAAAGAAAAGATAAAAATACAAGATCTCTGTGTGTGTGTGTGTGTGTGTGTGTGTGTGTGTGTGTGTGTATACCATTTTTATGAATGCTCTTTATTTTGTGAGATGAACCTTTTTAATGTTACATTTGTAGAGAGACACAGTTCAAGGCAATTAGAGTAGTGAGAAGAAGAAATATCGGTCACTATCAAGAGGCCCACGACATTGGAACTTTCTGGGAATGGAACTGTCCCATATCTAGCATGGTAGACTTGCATGGATGAGTACTGAGCACTTAGGGTGGAGCTAGTGCCTCTAATGTACTTAGTACGTGACAGACTACAGCACAGGGGCATCTGTCACAGCCCCACAGCTCTATGGAGTGATTTAACTCAGATTAAAAGATAAAATGCACCTTATATATTGTTTTTGTATAGCTACCCTTGCACCTAGCAATAGTATTTTCCCTAGAGACCCTCTGACAACCCTACCCTTGGGAGCCTTGGGCTCACTCTTCATCACTCTGCCAGAGCTCTAGCCTGAGGTTTCTTCTCTTATTTGGAAACTATAGTAGGTGCACCTAGCAGCCTCTATTGGCCCCTCAGGCTTCTGTGAATTGCCTTCTCAGAAGTTTCCTACTGCTTTGAGACCTATTCAGTCAATCTCAACACACACTTACTTTTATTTTGATTTTTTTGGAAAAGGGTAAGATTGGTCTTTCCCATTTGCAGGGTGCAGGTATTATGGTTAGTGTGGATGTGACAACTAGGGAAATTTAAATGGGAGGCAATGCCCGAATAAAGGCTGATTACATACTCCCATGCTCAAAGCCCCATGCACAAACACTCTCCATGAAGGGTTGGAAAGGGTGGATCACTGTTCAATCAGGATGGATGGCCCCTTTCCAGCACTTTTATGTACAATGAGGAGAAATTACAACCATTAAAAAGTAGAACAATTACAGTTATATGTCAAGGTTATATGTCAAACCTCTGATGAAAAATAAAACATTCAGTGAAAGTGGTCACTTGCTGGGCCATTGTAACTAATATGCAAATCAATTATTTGAGGGGGAAAATGCATAGCTAAACACAGCATAGACTAGAAGTAAGCTTAGAGGATGTATTCGGAGATGTTACAAAAATCTGATGTATCTAAATTGTACCTAAGTAAATTTAGGACATCCTTCCAGATTAGATTTATATCTATGGACTGTCAGACGGTCGCTGGGGAAAATTCTTAATCTGCAGTTGCTCTCTACTCAGATAGGGTTGTATAATGGAAGTTAAATGTGGTTATATTTTTCTCCCTATGACTGGGGAAGTCACATAGACTATCAATAGAGTATTTTCTGATCATAGAGGCTGTCTTGCTTTCTGTGGGGCACTAGGGTCTGCACTAGGGTCTCACTCTGACTACCTGTCTTAGCATAAGACTCTTTAATGCTAATGAGCATTTCCAGATGCTCATTAGAATATGACCTGTTGATGTTAATGAGCATTCTACAAGTATGAATCGCTGATTTGCTAATCAGGATCACAAAAACGATTACAGCATTCTGTAACTGTTCTCAAAGAGCATTTTCTGGTTGTGGAGAACTGCTTTGTAAAGTAGAAAAAGGGACAGGAATCCCTGGAAACTTTTGCAAATTAGAAATCTCAAGTTATAGCATTTGGCATATTATTAGGCCATAAAGTATGATGTTAGATCAAGTTGACAGCTGTTCACTGGTCCAGCAATCTAGACTTCGGATGGTCAATATGGATACCTGGGGTGATTCATAAAGATTAAAACTTAAGATTCCAGCCAAGCACCAATGGCTCACACCTATAATCCTAGATACTCAGGAGGCTGAGATCTGAGGGTCCTGGTCCAAAGCCAGACAAATCTAAAACACTCTTCAGTTAAAGAGCAAAAATCTAGACTGGAGGTGTGGCTCAAATGGTAGTGCTCTAGCCTTAAGTGAAAAAGTCAAGTGAGAGAGGCCCAGAGTTCAGGCCCCAATCAGTATAAAAGTAAAACAAGAAGAAAAACAAGATTCCTGTTCAGGCTTCTTTCTAAAGGAAAGCTGAGTAATCCCATCACATTTCCAGAACTTTACTAAGGTATTATTTCCAATTACCTTGTGATAATCCTTTTCCACAGAGGTGAAGTAATATTTACTTAATTTACTTAAGCATCACAGATGACTATGAATAGCAAAAAAACTAAAATTATTTTAGATAGTTACAAATATGAATATAAAAATAACAGAAAAACTAAAAACAGATTTCATTCTAATAGTTTTTCAATTCTCTATTATTTTTTTCTAAGTATAAAAGAAAAAGAAGAGAAATCCTGGTGACAACGCTTTACCTTGTTTACCTTAACTATTCTCATTAAAAGATGAAGTCTCTGGTTATCATTGTAAAGCTCTAGAGCAAGGACACATCAATGATTATTTTCAATTAACTTGATGTTCTTAGGTTTCCTGGTTTCCTTCCTTCCTTCCTTCCTTTCTTCCTTTTCTTTCTTTCTGCCAGTCCTGAACTCAAGGCCTAGACACTGTCCCTGAGTTTCTTTTGTTCAAGGCTAGCGCTCTACCACTTGAGCCACAGCACCACTTCTGGCT